CATCCTATGCAGTTTTATTTTAATGAAAATCATTAATATTTTATTATTTAATACAATCGAAATCGCCTCTTTGGGATAGCCAGCAGTAAACTTTAATAAGTAGAAAATTATATGTAACTAGCATTGCCCGCGGCTCCGCCCGTGTTCAGATGACCAAAAACCAAATCAAATTGCGCTATTGTTATTTTTTTCAAGATAAGCTATTTTTAATAGTTTTTGTCTTATTTAGTAACTTACCTTGCTAAAATATATATATTTTGTAAGTTTTTTATACGTAAAGATTACCAAATTGACGCTTGCGTTAACCAAATATTTTTTATTACTTGTACTATATAAAATACCCAAAGATAACTTATTGTAACATTTGCCATAAATTATATAACATTGATTAAATAATACCTATATTATATCACAATGTAAAAACGTGCTTAGAAACCACATTAAACGCGTTTTGTTTAAAGATAAGTTTACTATTACAATTTGTTATCATTTATGCATGTTGCAATACATTATAATACTTAAGAAATTATTAAATATTAATCTTTCTTTTTTTCTATTACAAATGTTTCTTTCCAATTATGGCGAATAAGATGAGACTGGTGCAGAACAGACGGACGAGTCATGACTATTGTTTAAAATATGTGTATATATGGTAGGTACATCAAATTTTAAACGAACATGTTTTATTATCGTTATTTTTAAATTAATAATATATGGATAGTGAAATTTCCTATAGGCGTATATTTAAAGACCGTGTCTGAGTCCCGTCTGAACAGGAAATGACCCTCAGATGAGTAGCGACAAGCCTGGACTCGATGCAGAATTTAGGAATCTTGCACAGGTGCAATATTTTTTAATATTGATAAACTTTTATTAAGTTAAAATTGTAATGACTAATTAATCCTAGAAAATTTGATTATAATCACATTTATTTGTTTAAAATTATACCTACATATTTTATTCATTATCGAAGAATTTTTTAACAATTAATAAAACCTTGATCTACTATTGCAACAATAGTCAGTATATTATTGGTAATAAACCCGGAATATAAATTAGATTGGTCTCGCAAGGTTTTTGTTTATTTCTTCATATAAATACATATGTACATAAGTATTTGTTACATACCGTTTTTGTTGTAAATATAATTTATTTGTACATCAGGCGTAGATAAGTGATAAATATTCAGTAATATAGTTAATAATATTTTTTTTTCATTTCATAATATTAAATTTATTAAAATATTATAATATTATATATATAAGTATATATAAGTATATATATATATTATAATATTATATATATATATACTTTATATTATAAATATTAAAATATTACGATAAACCCATCGTAATATTCTTATCTATTTTCAACATATTATGTAGCACAAGATATAACCAAAATTGTCTCCGTGACAAGTTGTAATTTTATAATAATTGAAAAGTCGCGAATATGTATAAGCCCTTATATTTACGGCATCAAGATATTAGTTTAGCAGTTACTAATACGGTAAAGGTATGATAGATATTTTATAGTGATGTATTTGATGTACCGTAGATATAATGAAATTTTAAATTACCTAGTTATTTTCATTACAAGCACATTATACATAAACTAATAAACAAAAAATAGCAATTTATATTTTTCCTATAATTGACAAACATTATACTTCAAAATTATTAGATATAGTACTTATAAATGAAATACTATTAAGTCAATGGACAAAAATGAATGAAAACGAACGAAAATATCTGAAAGATTTATATGAATATTGTAATTTTTTTTACACTTTATAATAATAAATCATCTCTATTACCACTTCTTATATTTTCTGATGAGGTCTTTAATTTTTTTTCAATGAAAGTTAGCATATAATGTTTTTGTTCATTTGCATTTTTTATAGCGAGCGCCAGGAATTGTGATCAAAAACAATTAATTTCTTACAATCAATATATTTACCATACATCGTTCTTTTATTGATTTTCATTTGTTTTTATATATAAAATATAATTATACAGCACAAGTATATAAAGCAAACAAGCGGTGTTTTTTTGCCGATTCGACTCACTCCTACCGTCATTTCTTTGTACTATAAGTGGTACCTGCAATTTTTAACTTTCTGAAGAAATGCATGTCATAATGGCAAAAGCTTACATCCAAATTCGTTAGTTGTTCTTGAGATAAGGGAGCAAGATGTACTATAGGAACTGGTCCTTGGCGCGGCAGCTTTCTTTTATATGTTAATGTATATATGTATCTGTAAGATATGAAAACATAAATAATATATAGAAATAAATAATACTTTGGATCATTGCGATTTTGCTTATAATAAATATAAAAACATATATCTAATAATCTACTTAATAGTGCTAGGTCTAGTTTATCTGACTACTATTATATATGTGACATTCTCCTTGTTACTTCTTCACATTGAAACGCTTGGACGGATTTAGATAAAAATTAGAAGACAGATGAACCTGGAGATGAGATACGACCTGGAGTTACACATAAATTACCTACTTTTAGGCATCTAGGGACGCCCCGAACGAAGAAAGGTTTGTTTATTGTGTAAATTCGATGACATTGGTGTCGAATGGCTAGACGCATATAAAATTGTAATATCCGTAACGAACGATTATTTGCTGGATTATGTTATTGTTATTTTGGCCTCGAATATTGGGAACGAAGCACATGTCAGCAAAGAATATTTCTCGTTTTCTCCTATTTGCATTAGAAATCACGTTCTTATTACTAACTCTAATTGGATTTAAGTTATTTTATTATAGTGTCTGTCTTTACATATTTTAATCATTTTATATTATAAAATTTACTATTTCTCATTGGTAAAAACATTTTTAAGCAGTCAATTACTCTTAATAAGTCATTTCATTTCCATAATGTTTTCTGAATTTTTATAGTGATATCTATACATATAATAAAATTGTAACTAAGCAGAATCTATACATAAGATATTTTTTGAAAAATCTTATTGAAATAAACATTATTATCGATACAGAGGCCAAATCTATAGTTTTTAGAATTTTTGTCTGTCTGTCTGTCTGTTACCGCATCACAGAAAAACTTCTGGAAGAATTTTGATAAAATTTAGTATGATGATAGCTGGTTATCCGGGTCAAAATATAGGATACTTTTTACCGCGGGAAAGTATCTCATTTTTGAGAAAAAGTACAAAAACTGTAATATAAGAGTATATACTAATATGTAAAACCTAAGAATTTGGTTTTTGGCCATCTGAACGCGGGCGGAGCCGCGGGCAATGCTAGTCGTTAATTATAAAAATTCAACTTGTCTAAAAAATTAGTTATATGTAGGTATTGATGCAGGATCAAACGGAGAAATAGAACTTATGTTCATGATATTAAAGACCAAAAAAATTAAATATATTCTTTGTTGTGTTTCTGTTTGCCTTGCCTGGGTTTACCTTGAATAACTGTGAAAAATTTATTACAATGAATGAACAGGATATTTAACGAGGATAACGACTTGTCTTGAAAACAAGATATTCTTTTTTGAAAGTCCAAAAAGTTTAGAATTGATGTACTACATTATCATATAATTGTTTCATATAAATAAATATTAATAAACAAGGTAGTATTACTTCAAATAATAGCTGTATACGTAAAGTTATAATTTTACAGAAATAAAAATGGCCAAGAAAATGTAAGGTGGCTCTACTGCATCGTTTATAAAGTTAATTACCGCTTGTAAGTGGTCACGGCTTTCTTGGAAGAGAGGTTAGTGGGCTACCCTGAGACCGCTCTCCACATAAATACTTAAAAACGCTACCTACCTGTTTCATACTCTACCTGCCATTAACATCATCGTCTATTTTAAAGTGTAGAAATTTGGTTCGGCAGATACGTATTAGAGTGATTTAGGCTTTTGTTTCCAAAGGTAATACAAAACAAAACAATTTTTAAACAAGAACACTTCTTATATCTGTATGTATGTATGATTATATATAAAGCTAAGGCATTTTTTTGTTTCATTCGATGAGCTAATTTCAGGTTTTGAAAAATCCTTTTTGAGTTTTAAGGCACTTTTATTGAGAAAGCCCATCACGCCTAGAAACGGAATAATTAAAGTTATTCACTAGCGACTCACCCTCGCTTCGCTCAGGTTCGCTTCGGTACATTTTAATTTTTTTGAGCGGAACACTAATTCTTTTACCGAAATAAAAGTAGTCTAAGTTATTCTTTATTACATCAACTACCTGCCAGTGAAAGTCCCGTCAAAATCAGCCCAGCCGTTTCGGAGATTAGCCGGAACAAACAGACAGAAAGACAAAAATTTGAAAATTGTGTTTTTCTCATAAATATCGTATATATTCCATGTGCATTTCGTAAAAAGCTGTTATTTTGACATTACAAACAGACACTTCAATTTTATTTATCTGTATAGATAAATAAACTACGCAAAAACTAGTATGTATATAAATAAGGACTTGACGAATGTTGTTGACAATGATTTATTATGAGCTCTTTGGAATAACATTTTCATTGACCTGGAGATAAAGAGTCAATTCTGTTTCTGACAGTTCCATTGCACATCCGCTGGAGTATCGAATTTAGTCTACACATACATACATAATATGTATTTATCATTTCTATGTGACTCTGTTACACTGATAAGCTCTCAATAATAAATATAAAATTTCTAAAGCTTGGAATTCTTAAAAACTTTTTAAAATTAATTCATTTTAAAGCTCCGATAGAATTTGTAACTACTGTATATTAAACAGTACAAATAAATGCAGCACGCAATTATTTGTTTTTTCATCGTGCACAAAAAAATCTTCTAGCGAAACAATAATATGATGTCTATTGATTACATTCATTCAAGCAATAGGTTAACAGCGTCATCATAAAATAGAAAACCAGGTGAATTTTGAATTTACCTGGTAAACATTTTAAATTTCAAGTTACTATATTTTGGATGTAATGTGTGTAATTACAAAAATATACTAATTACTTAAAAATATGTTTTCTGTTTATTGCTATTGTGCGTGGAGTGGCGCGCGCACAGGGAGGCCTGCGGCAGCGGCCGGCGGAGTGAGGGGTCCTTCGCCGTTCTCCGTACGCCATACGGTTGGCGTCGCCCTCGCGGCTCAGTTAGTGTCTGGCCACGAGAGCACGAGGCCTTGCCGCGGCCGATCTGATATTGCACCGCTATCCGTATACATAGATCGCAACTTCTTACAAACGCGACGCACCGGCTAGTATTTACAAACATTTGAGACTCTTCTCTTCGCACACCGTAGCCACATCGAACTTGACCTGTGATAGTTGTTCGAACTGTCAGTGCGCGTGTTGTGCTGTATCGACAATATAACCTGTATGACTTCAAGGGCACGAGCGTATTACGAAGTTGTGCTTTGGATGCGGTGTTTAGAAGATTTCAAGCATTATCAGAGTCTTGTTTCTCTTCTAAGATATAAGTGGGCGTACTTGAAAGTTTGAAAATCGATCGGGTGACGTGCGTGGGATTGCGTTTATGTAATCTTTGTTTACCTTGGAGATATGCAATGCAAGCTGCCGCCGAGATACGCTTTATAAGTCACCACTGACAAGCTTTCATTCAAGCCATAGCATACAGGTGAGTGAGGGTGAGTGAGTGTGTACCTAGTGATAGTTCTTTGTTTACATGTTTGATTCAAAATGTTTTGCTGGTTTTTTCTGAAATGCTTTGTCTTGCACGTCAATAATTTGAGTATTTTAGTTGCTGCAGCGTATCAGGTCAAATTCTGTCTATTGTTCATAGACAGAATTTGACCTGATGTTGAAAAATAGCAGAGAGAATTTTCGGTGGAAGATTAAAGAAGCAAAATTAATATAAAGTAAAAGTTAAAGCTTTTACAACGATAAATATACCTTATTAAGAACCCCACTTAAGTCGATATATAAGAGCCCCTTTACTTCGAGTAGAAATCGAACTCGTTATCTTCTTTACTCTGCTACCACGGACGGCCATCAGTGATATAACATTATGGTTTTACTGTAAAGCACTGCTTTTACTGCACTGGAATTAAATGTTTTTTGTCTAAAACGCGCTGTTAGCATTATATACCTAGTACCTACACTAGCGACTCACTCTCGCTTCGCTCGGGTTCGTCCCTAGGTACGTTTTAATTTTTTTAGCGGAACCCTTATTATTTTTATAAAATAAAAGTAGCCTATGCTACTCTCTCATATATATAACATCAGCTATCTTCCAGTGAAAGTCCCGTCAAAATCAGTCCAGCCGTTTCAGAGATTATCCGGAACAGACAGACAGACAAAAATTAAAAAAATTGAGTTTTTCTTATACGTACCGTATATAGCTTCATATGCATTTAGTAAGCCGCTGTTGTTTTGACATTACAAACAGACACTTCAATTTTATTTATCTGTATAGATTACTAGCAGACCTACCTACCTGCGTTGCTGTGCAAATATATGAAAATCGTTAATTTTGCAATAAAAAAAGGAAATAATCGGGATAATAACTATCCTATCTTTAAAGTTGGAACAAATCATACATTTTGAAAAAATACGCTAATATCGGATAAGAAGTTTCGGGAGTTCATCCCGGAAAAACATCGTGATACGGGAATTTTATATATTAAATCACATTATACGCACGTGCAATAAGCATACATAGTCTTTAGAAATTAGATGTTTGAATTAGATTTTGATAATTTCTCTAATTTCTAATAGGTACTATTGTTATAGGTACTTACTTTTTATATAACTAACTATACAGCAAATATAATTATTTACGAATAAAATGTCTATTCCAGTGGGATTAACTTGAGAAATACAAAGTAGGTAGATATGTACTGGTATAAAATTATAATATCAATTTGCATAAATAACTACATCCGTTAAACTAAGTTTTAATATGGGTAACTAAAACAACTTAGTAACAAAAATAACATAAGAGCTCCTATGTTATACTTATTTCAACCAACTTCCAAAAAGAAGGAGGTTCTATGTTCCATATGTGTGTGTATTTTTTTATAACAATTTGGCTGCCAAAGCTTTTTAAGCTGTCTAATTTAATTATTTACTTTTAGAATATTTAAAAAATAAATATATTTAGAATGATTGATGAAAATATGTGTTTGAATGATTTATATATAGAATTTTATGATTATTTAGATAATTGTTTTTCATTAATTTTACTTAAACTTCGTCATTTATAAGTCAAGAGGGGTACCTAATGTCTAATGAGTGAGAAGTCAGGCGCGCTAAAACAAGAAGAACAAGTCTGTTTTTACGTGAGAAAACTACAATAAAAACAAGTTTTGCATTACAATGCCAGTTGTGTGAGAGATGAATGGATAACTTGTTTTTATTAATGTTTTTTTTCGTTGACCATGACTGTTAGGCATTTATATCAAATTTTGGGGTCTATGGGAGTCTATAGTAAAATCGAGCTCCGGAGTTCTTTCAGGCGATGCATTCATATTTCATGAGCACCGGTCTGAGCCACAATGGCGTCGCGATGAGGTCGTCGGACGAGCATGGCTTTTAACTTCCCACTACACATACCACCGTCTAGCCTATTTTTTTAAAAGTTACTACAAAATCCTTTACGGTGATTAGAGTTTACGTAAAAACTAAAAACACTAAAACGTATTTTGCTGATTGTTTAAGCTTCTCTTTTATTTTTAATTTTTCTGGTAAGATTTTACATACACCTATTCATATCAGCTTCTTTACACCCAATTTTGTTTTCAAATTATTTTAAATGTCACTATAACATGTTTAGCAAACGCCAATTAGTACAATTTGATATTTACTGAACAGTTAAGTCAAAGTAATAGGTGCAAGTGATCCTAAATATATATTTCTAAGAAATCCATATGTAGACATCTATACATATAATAAAATTGTAACTAAGCCGAATCTGTTCATTAAATATTTTTTGGAAAGTCTTACTGAAATAGACATTATTATCTATATAGAGGCCGAATCTATAGTTTTTAGAATGTTTGTCTGTCTGTCTGTCTGTCTGTCTGTTACCGCATCACAGAAAAACCACTGGAGAGATTTTGATGAAATTTGGTATGATGATAGCTGGTTATCCGGGTCAACATATAGGATACTTTTTACAGCGGGAAAATATCTCATTTCTGAGAAAAAATACAAAAACTGTATTGTAAGAGTATACTAATACGTAAAATGCAAGGCAATGCTAGTAAATAATAAAACGGAATTTAAAAACGAAAATAAACGAAACAGAATCTACCAAGACGTAAGTACTTTCTCCGTCAAGAATCGTAACAGGTATCAAGTATATCATTATTCTCATGGGAAATTAGAATGAATTAGATGCTATACGAACATATTCACGTGCCCATCACATTCAGCTACCTACCTACATCTTTGTGAGCAAATTATAATTTATTCAGGGCTCGGCTGCCATTTTATACGTAAAAAGTTTTTTTTGTTACTATTTAACGTGTTCAATTATCTTTTAAGCAATTTTTCAATAAAATTATATTTTAAAGCAGGAATGTCATATAAAATACCAATGTAAGTATACAAGAATTAGACGAATTATGGATCCTCGTAAAGAAAGATATATATTTTTTTAGTTTATTTTTGAAATTATTCCGTAGATAAAACGCTTAAATAATTAAACACAATCATTTGTAAACAAACAGTGAAGTAGCGGGTGATGTTAAATCATAATTACATCGAGCTGTGACTCAGAATGATGCCATCGTTTCGAGACTGGGGGCACGAGCGATGGCGCCATAATATGCACTATTTTTAAAACGTTGTTCAAACTGTTTAGACTTCCAAAATGGGTCGCTTTGTTGTACATAAATGTAATGTCTATATTATATAAATAAGCATTCCATATTCCAAACAATTCTGTAGCAATAGTTTCCTAGGCCCTGGCTAATGTACGTTGAGTGTGGAGACTACTTATCTACGTCGCACTTTAGTAGTCTCAAGAGAAAAAACAATGTTCCCTCCACCCTACATGCTCACATACATATATAACTACATGGAACGATGTAGAAGCACACGTGTCAGTTTAATAAAACACCATACAATGAATTTGGCGATTTTGATTTATTAATTTTATATGCTAGTAACAATTTTGCATCATATTCGTAAAATTTAGAACATTAAAAATTAATATAATTACTTAATTAAAAAAAATAAGATAAAATTATTTACTATTTAATTAAACTCATTATAATTCTCCTGTCAGCCCGTCAATTCAACGCGTCAGTCTAAAGCTAAAACATTCCATCTATACGCTTTGAAAACTCATCCTCATTTAGAAATTATACTGCAGTAATAAATTTGTACGCACTAAAGCTGGCTAAAAAAGTTGTTAAAAAGGTTTAAATTAATTTTATGCGATTATGTTATGAATTATGTCTTTTAATATATTATAATGTATTTAAAATATCTATTTATTACAGGCAGATATTAAGTAATTAATTAACATAAAGCAGGTATATTGTTTCAAGTCTATTTATATTTAAATAGCGTTTTAATAATGTTATTAATGCGCTTCAAAATAATAATTAATTATAAATACAAAGTAGAAAAATATATAATCTATAGTAAAACTAGCAATTCGCCGTCTCTTCGTTCAGGTTCGTCCCTAGGTGCATTTTAACGGTTAGTATGGAATAGGTAGATTATATATATTCGTAGGTATGATAAGTTATTTTTGGGTTGTATTATAACGTGTTTTACCGTGGGCATTAAATAATATCCCGCGGTACCTTAATAGTAGCCTATATCACTCCAATCTCCATCCCTCTAACTATCTCCACCCAAAAAATCACGCAAATCCGTCACTCTGTTACGACGAGAAAGAATGACAAACAAACACACTTTTACATTTATAATATTAGTATGAATAACGATGGGCTATCACGGTCTGCTTCTTGGTTCCTGCAAATACATACAATGTTTGTAAATAAAATTTTATTATAAAGTAATTGTCGGCATATATGTATGTATGTGTTTATATGCAACGGCAATTATAAGGATAGGGCTGACTTTAAACCTCATTACTTACCCTTCAAGGGGATCATCTCTTTTATCTTAAAACCGGTCCATTTATTCTCCCATCAAGTTCTGCGCTTTTATGAAATGAAGATAAAATATTGTGTTAACTTGTCTTTTTTAAGAAATTAGTGGCTATTATATAAAAATATTAATATTTTTTATGAATTTTAAACCTCGACTAATGAGGCAAGTTATGAGTTTGTCATCTATGTACCTTAAACAGTCTGTTTATCAAATCTATATTTTGTTTTCATAATATTATTTATATGTTTTTTATTTGTATTACCAACATTTTTCCAGGTAATTAAATCGCGTAGTAATTAGTGCTTTTTTCCAAGTCGAAGTAAATTAGAGGTGAGATATTTTCCCGTGGTAAAAAGTATCCTATATGTTAACCCGGATAACCAGCTTTCACCATACAAAATTTCATTAAAATGAGGGACTTTTCTGTAATGACAGTGGTTTTTCTGTGATCGGTAACAGACAGACAGACAAAAATTCTAAAAACTATAGATTCGGCCTCTGTATCGATAATAATGTTCATTTTAATAAGATTTTCCAAAAAATATG